AAAAAAAAAAAAAAAAAAAAAAAAAAAACAACAACAAAGAGTTCCCTATATCCAGACTGGCTGTAGCATTTCTCCCTGCCTCACCTCTCCTACCCCAACGCTGGCAATCTGGGCAGCGTCCTCCACTCTGCCCTCCATGACCCTAGTAGACCACACAGAACGCTGCTGTTCTGGCCATGCCAGTCCTTTCAGACCCCAAGCCTGTGCATTTGGCATCCCCGCCAGGCCTGCCCTCCACCCTTGCCCTCTGTGTGCCAAGCCTCTCGGTTTCCTCCTCTCCCTGTGGAATCACCCCACTGCTCCCCGTGCCGTAACTCCTGGCAACTGTGCCCCCCCCCCGCAGTCTTCCACCAAGAGCCTGCGGACCACCATTGGTGAGGCCTTCGAGCGGCTGCACCGGCTGCTGCGTGAGCGGCAGAAGGCCATGCTGGAGGAGCTGGAGGCAGACACGGCACGCACACTGACCGACATTGAGCAGAAGGTCCAGCGCTACAGCCAGCAGCTGCGCAAGGTGCAGGAGGGCACCCAGATCCTGCAGGAGCGGCTGGCTGAGACCGACCGGCACACCTTCCTGGCCGGAGTGGCCTCCCTGTCTGAGCGGTAAGTGCCACCTGCGGGGCGGTCTTCCCAAAGTGACCAGCTCCTCCCAACCTGTGTGAGGTAGATGAGGCTGTCAGCAAGAATCCACTTATTCATATCTGTTATCAGTCTTTTGTGGGGCATCTGCTGTGTGACAGAGCTTGGGCTGATGCTTTATGTAGTCGTATTAGTCTATATATAATACATTCTGTCTACATTAAAATGAATGAACAATATTTAGTAATATATAGCATATTACATATGTTGTTTATATTACATATCTATAACATATCGCATGTTATTTTACCAATGTTGATACTATATTATTTTATAAAAGCTTTATATTATTATAATCCTGTCATCCCCCTTGGAGGTAGTGACCACGGTCATCCCTGTTTCACAGGATGTAGAAACTGAAGTTCAGAGAAGCTAGATCAATTGACCAAGACCCCTCAGCAAGGTGGAACCAGGACACAACCTCAAGTTTCTCTGGCCCCAAAAACCAGGCTTAATAAAAACACTGATCGTTAACACCATGCACTTGGTGTTGGCCCTAAGCCCAGTTCCGTGCTAAGTATTCGGTATGTTATGTCATGCAATTCTTTAAAAAAAAAATAAAGCTTAGAAGGCAGGTGCTAGCATGGAATTCATTTTAAAACCGAGGGTAACAGCTAGAGAGGCTGGAAACGGCATAAGCTGACACTTGCATCCGAGTCCTGCAGGCTTCTCACTACAGGGACCCAGCACTGGGGCAGGAATCCAGTCCTCAGTACAGCCTTTTCTTCTGCTGTCCTTCCAGGCTTAAGGGGAAAATCCATGAGACCAACCTGACATATGAAGACTTCCCGACCTCCAAGTACACGGGTCCTCTGCAGTACACCATCTGGAAGTCCCTGTTCCAGGATATCCACCCAGGTGAGGCCCTGCCCACCACTTCCTGAGAGGGCCTGGAGAGTCAAGGGTTATCCTGGTGGAGCCAGGGGGGCATGCCCAGCCCAGCCCAGCCCCCTGCCCTAAGTATAGCAAGGGGTAGGGCAGGGAATGAGCAGAGTGCCTTGCTGAGCACCTGCTATGCCCCAGGGCTGTGCTGGGCACCTATACAATCGCCCAGCTCAGTAAATCTTCATAGGACCCATGAGACAGACTCCACAATGTACCTACCGCTCCCCAGATGGAGGTATAGATCTCCACTGATGGCAGGGTTGCATCTCATAAACCATTGCAAGGTGAAAACATCCAAGTCAAAAACACCTTTGACATGCCTGATCCACTGAACATCCTAGCTTAGCAACACAGGACACCATATTTTGTCTCTCCTCATGATTACATGGCTTATCGTGATGCCCAGAATTGCATGAATGTCACACCCTATATAGGGGGCATCCCTGGGAAAAGAACAAAGTTCAGAACTTGAGATACAGTTTCTACTGAGTCCATGTCACTTTCTCCCCCATTGTACTTGAAGTATCATGAATTGAACCATCATAATTTGGGGACCTTCTGTACTGAAGCCCTGGGCCCTTCACTGCCTCACTCTAAACACAGTATGTATGGAGCACCTTCCCCACCCAAAGAACTGTTCTAGGTGTGAAAATAGAGTAGTGATCAAAATAGGCCAAAAAAAAAACAAAAAAAATCCTGTCCTGCAGATCTTACATGCTAGCGTGTGAGAGAGAAACATATAGGGCAGAGATTTTATTTTATTTGTTTTGTTTTTTGAGACAGGGTCTCACTATGTAGTTGAGACTGACCTGGAAGTCACTATGTAGCCCAGGCTGGCCTTGAACTCACAGCGATCCTCCTGCCTCAGCCTCCCGAGTGCTGGGATTACAAGCATGCGCCACCACGCCCGACATGGGGCAGAGATTTTTAGAGAGGAGGTCCAGTCAGAAGACCTCGGGGAGAAGGAAGCATTGGAGTAGAGATCAAAAGAAAGGAGGGTAAGACATGTCTGAGGGATAAGGTGCAAGGAGGCAGAGGCTTGCCTGACATATTCAAGGAACAGCACAGGAGGTCAGGTGGATTGGACTGAGACAAATGAGGGAGACTGGCGGTGAAGAGGTCAGGAAGGTAGCAGTGATCAGACCACGGGGGCCTGTGGACCAGTGTGAGTACTTCGAATTCTATGTTGAAACCAAGGCCATTGGAAGATTTGGGGCAGTGACATGACATGAGCCAGTTTAAGATTTTAAAGAATCCCTCTGGCTGCTCAGTTAAGGATAAACTGAAGGAGGCAAAGGATGGAAGAGTTGACTGCGTAATCATGGAGTGGTTTCAGGAGTGCTTTCAGGTTTCATGGAGTGGGTGAGAAGTGGTCAGAGTTAGGATGTATTTTGGAGGGAAAGCCAACAGGATTGGGTCTCAGGTGTGAGAGGTGGAAAATAAGATTAGAGGGTTCTGGCTGCAGCAGCTGGAAGCATGGAGTTGTGAGCCGGCGAGGTGTGCAAGGCTCCTGAGATGTGTCATGCTGATGTTGGAAAGGCCATTAGACTCAAGTGTGCAGCTTGGGAAAACGGGCAGGGCTGGGCTCATCGGCACAAGGACAGCAGTCAGTGGGGCCTCATTAAATGTGTCATGACTGATTTCACAGATGTGAAAGGAGGTCCTGAGTGCTCTTACACATTGCTCTGTAACCTTGTTTGCGGAGGAGCAGCGGGGGCGGCATTTTCTAGGCGGGTGGATGGCACTTCTGAGTGTCCTCCTGGGGTGGAGGTCACCGTCAACTCCCAGCCCCAGAGGGACTTTATACAGGGCGGCACTGCTCAAGGGAGGCAAGAATTCCGCCCCTCACGCTCTCCTCAGCTCCAGGGGAGCCCTCTCAAGTAGATGGTCCAGGGGGCACCCTCTGCCTCAGCTGGCCACTACTCCATCCCTGTCACAGCTCAGAGAGGCACCTAGGCACCTCAGCGTGGCGTGCAGCCTTATCACACTCAGCCAGACTGAACCATCTTAGGCCTTACGTGAGCCGTAGTCTGCCTCCACCCTTCGCACATGTTTTTCCCTTTCCCTGGAGCCCTCTCCAACCTTCCTCGGTCTTTGATGGTCAACTTCTGTTCTCCTTCATGTGTTACTTTTCAAATTCCTCCTGTGAGAAGCCTTCCTGGGTTTCTCCAGGCCGTTCTGGACCTTCCCAGTTTCACAGTTTTGTCAGTGTCTGTGTAGCTGTCTCTGTCTCCTCTGTCTGGACCGTGAGCTCTTAGAGGCTGGTTAGGGTCTGGTTCATCTCCAGCAGTCAGCACAGTCAATAAAAAGAATGAGTTCTAGTCCCAGTCCTGCTTCTAGAAGAGTGCCTAGCATATAGTAGGTACCCAGTGCATATTGAATGAGGAAACTTCTGGCCCAGTCTTGGACAAGTCCTTTCCTTGGAACAACAAGGATGCCATGTTCCTTCCCACTTCACTCACAAGGCAGCAGCCAAGTGGGCAAGGTGCTGATGGCCCATGAGCAGGATTTATTGGCCTCAGCGCAATGACTGACTGTGAGGCCTTGTTGTGGGCACTGCTCTGTGCGTGGCAGGATTCTTGGCAGCATCCCTGGCTTCTGTCCAGTAGCCCCAGCTCCTTGATTCTACTAAAAAAATGTCTCTGGAAATTGCCGGTTGTCCCATGGAGAGCGAAAGTGCCCAAATTGAGAACCACTGTCCCAGAGAACTCTGCTCACAGCAGGGCTGAGGGAGCAGCAGTGTGCGTCCTGCACATCCTGCTCGGAGCAGAGGCCCCTGGGACTTCAAAGAACAGTGACCCTCTTCCCTGGGCCCCTTCCTTTGTCTGCGGGGCCTGTGAAGTCTCTGGCTTCTCTGCCAGCAGCAGAGCCCTTTATGTCCAGGCCAGAGGGTTGCCCCCAGGGACCGGGCTGTGGATTCTAGCAGCTTCCTGCCCACCCCGACCCTAGAGCTCAGGCTTCCATCTGGCACCTATCACTCCCTGCTCTGGAGCTTCCTCTCTCGACCACCACCCACCCTGCTCTGCTCCTCCCACTGCCGCCTTCTGCCTGCCGGACCTGAGGGCCCCAGCTTCCAGGCACAAGCCTCCCCTGTGGGCCAGGCAGCCCATTGTCCCGAGGACACCAGACACGGCTCTCACCACCCCACCTCCTCCCCTTGGCTGCCCTCTCCCCTCCCCTGCTCACCTGTACCCAACCACTTCGGAGTCCCAGCATGTTACTGCTGAACTGTAACCCAAGGCAGAGTACTCCCTTTCCTCATCTCCAGAAGAGGGGTAGCTGCACCTATTTTCCAAGGGAAATATAGAATTAAATTATTCACTGGTGATCGTAACCCTACAACTTAGTACTTGGCACTTATTTGCTAGCCTTGTTGTGAGTCCTCACATGGTTCCTCTGACTCACTGAGCAGGCTTTCTGGGTCCACATGAGAGAGAAAACAGGATGTAAAAAGACCTCAGCCCATATTCCAACTCTGCTTTCACCACAAGTGGCAACTTGAGCCAATCACTTACCTCAGGGAACCTCAGTTTCTCCTTCTGCAAAATGGGCACAGTGACGTGTGCCTCCAGAACTGCGCTGTGTTCCCAGGAGCTAGGAGATATGAAGATTTCTGCAAGGCCTGCTCTGTGCCGCTGAGGGTCTGAGTAGGTGGGAGGCTCGAGGAACCAAATAGTTTTATAAAGCCTGGCTGGAGAAAAGTGAACGTATTGGTCCTAGTAGCCCCCGGCCCCCTGTTCTTGAGAACAGAGAAACACAAGCCACTGGCAGCCAAGGGATGGTGATGGGCTGTGCCCTGGACAGGCTCTCTGTCATGTTTGGGTGATACCTGACAGGGGCTAGGAAGCATTTCCTGCAGCCCCCACAGGTGGTGACGCCTTCATACCTGGGGCCTCAGTGAGGCTTTACACCTAGATACCAGTCAGTTGCCTCACGCTGGCATTTCTAATGCCATGTTTCTAAATTCAGTCCCACAGCTAGAAAGGAGCTCTGCCCTGTAACACAGAGATCACGGGCGGGCGGTCTGTCATCTCTGGAGGGTAAAGAATGGACCGGAATGCTGCCAGACAGTCCCTGGGCCAGAAGGTTGCCACGCCCCCTTGCGATCCCCTCTAGTTACTCCTGCCCACCCCGGGAAGGGTGGAAGAAGGCCTGGGGTGCAGGACCCCCTGATAATGGTGAGATGGGAGGCCCTGCCCCAGCATTACCCTTTGGGCTATGAAAGCTTCTTTACTCAGTACACACACACACACACACACACACACACACCCCTAATGAGAATAACAGGCCTCGCCCCTGATCCTGCCCGCTGGGAGGCCAGTCCTACCCCCTGTAGACTCAGGCTCCACCCCTGTCCCCGCCCCCTCGTTTGCGGTACATACTTAGTAGGGTCAGGATTTCCTCGCCCTTCGGGCTCCCCTCTGTACACCTGGTCTCAGAGCCACGTGAGAGGCTGCATGGCTGCCCTCCCACCTCGTCAGTGTCTGGGGAGTGGTCTACTTAGGCTTAAGAGTGAGTTCTTAGGCCTGCTTGCCAGACTTTAGGGCCCTCTTGCCCTGAGCCCAGGTTTTTGTCTCTTGTAGGTCTCAAATCATCCTGGGCACCTGCAGTAAGAAGCCCAGGTCCCCCACATCCAGCTCACCACCCTGCATTCACATCCCTCTGCCATCGACACATCCCACTGCCCTGGCATGGCTCTGTGGGTATCTAATTAGGTTCCTTCCCTGGCTCTCTTGGCCACACACACCCTCCACTTCCTCCAGACCCATCCCTCTGGGGAATTCCCCACATTCCACAGGGCTGGAGCCTTCTGGTTCCACCTGCTGCCCTGTGGCCAGTCAGGCTGGAGACAAAACCTTCATTCACTGATTCAGTCTTTCTTCACCTGGCTCCCCTCTTTGTCCCTAGATAGTTGTGTTGCCTTTGACCTTTCTGTTCCCAGAAATTAGTGTTTCCACACAGCCCTCTGAGTTCTAAGAGCAGTAAGAAGAGTGTAAAATACAAAACTAAATTTGCTCTTAACAGAGATCATGGAAGGAGCTTGACACATGTCAGAAGTCAGCTTGTTAGTGGACGTAGGAACAGAAGCACAGTCGGGGCCAGGCTGTGGCTCCCTGTTGGGACAGTTGCCATGACTGTCATTTTATTTCTCTGCACACACACAGCCCGTAGAAGTACCTGAAATAGGGAGTAATGCTCCAGCCCAGTGCCATCAGGTCCCTGCTCCACTAGATAAGGGGACTAGATGGTGAAGTCCTTCACCCTGAGGAACTGGTACCCATTTCCCACACACACACTTTTCCTTCCCTCTGTCTTGATGTATCCTGGAAATGACTGTCCAGACTAAAAGGAGCCCAGATTCCCTCTGCTCCTCTGGCTGGCTATCAGTACCCTCCAAAGAGAGAATGAACAAAGGTCTCCACGAAAGTTCATGAAAATTTTGAGGTCAGACCTGCTAAGCTGGTATGGCCAGTCCCGGTGCAGGTGACCCAGCCCGTATCACCTGCCCAACCCAAATGGAGTCAGCCTAATTTGCTGAGCATTTCCACAAGGCTGCACCATGCCAGGCTCTGTGCTGGGTACTGGACACAGGAGAAAGCCAAGGTGACTAGTACACAGTCCCTCTTGCCCTTCTGGTATGAAGGGATCAGATGTGAGCACAGAAGGACTAGACTGCATGCGTGAACACAGTGCAGGGATTCCAGAGGAGAGGGAGCCCACCTGCTGGGCCCCCAGGACGCTCCCATGTGTGATCCCAGCAGCAGAGAGGAGGCTGGAGCATGCGGGGAGGGGGGAAGGAGCATGAGCAAAAGGTTTGGGCCTGAGTCTGGGGGAGCTGTCCGGTGACAGATGAGCTGGCAGAGAGGGCTGGAGCTGTCGATGGTGGCCTCCTTGATTTTTCCACCTCTGTCAGTATTTGCTGACCTGAGATCAGTCATGTCCCTTAGTTTCCCCACTTGTCCAATGGAAGAATTGGCTTAGAATTAGTGGTTTTCAGGTAACTGTCTACTTTTCATAACAATTTGGAATGTCTCAAAGATCATATAACCCTTTCACAATTCTAAATATACATGTATGTATCTAATTATATATGCATATATATATATATATATATATAGATGGGCACTAATATAAAGGAAATATAAAAGGGAAGTGTTGCTAATAAAATATTTTGTATGTCAATATGTAGATGCTTACTCAGAACCACACTAGAAAGCATAAAGTAGTCAGATGCTTCTATCATAGGTAAAACACCTTTGTGCTTCAAATGCCATCCAAGTATACAGGTAGATTGTATCAGTCCTTAGAGATGTATTTTCCAAAACAGTGAACATTTCTTAATGAAATTTCATGCCCCCCCATCCAACTTTACCTCACTTTGGTAGTTGTGTTCTAGAACATTTAGTATCCATTAAAGCTGCAGAAATCATGTTGTTTATTCATACAATGGAGTTAGGTTGTAGTTCCAGATTACGATAAAAAAAGATTTTTCATCCTTAGGAAAGTCCAGTGAAACATTTGAAAACTGCTGGTGGGCTGAGAGTGAACAGTCCTTCCCTACGCAGGACCACCCTGTGCATTTCATTGTCGTTAGCATCCCAGGATCCCACTGTCAGGGAGACAACTCAAACATCTTCACGGATTTCCAGATTTCTCTCTAGGGGGCAGTAACACCTGAATGATCTTTAAACTCCCTCCCAGCTCTGGAATTCTCTTTCTGGACTTCACATGCGTTAATTCTGCAAATGTTTGTGGAGTGTCCAATATGTGCCTTGTCCTGGGCCTTGGCCAGTGACTAACCAGCCATGACCCCTCCTCCTCTGCAGCCTAATGTAAAGCTGGAGGGACTTGAGCCATTGTCAGGCTTGTATTTAGGGTCACACAGTGGGTCAGTGGCCTAGCCAGAACCCTGTCCTCAGCAAAGAACCGAGAAGGGGCTTGATAGCTTTGTTTCCACTGATCTCTCCCTCCTCCGCCCCTCATAGTGCCCGCTGCACTGACCCTGGACCCAGGAACTGCCCACCAACGCCTGATCCTCTCCGATGACTGCACCATTGTGGCCTATGGAAACTTGCACCCACAGCCGCTGCAGGACTCACCAAAGCGCTTTGACGTGGAGGTGTCAGTGCTGGGCTCCGAGGCCTTCAATAGTGGTGTCCATTACTGGGAGGTGGTGGTGGCAGAGAAGACCCAGTGGGTGATCGGGCTGGCACACGAGGCCGCAAGCCGCAAGGGCAGCATCCAGATCCAGCCCAGCCGTGGCTTCTACTGCATTGTCATGCATGACGGTAACCAGTACAGCGCCTGCACGGAGCCCTGGACACGGCTCAATGTTCGCGACAAGCTGGACAAGGTGGGCGTCTTCCTGGACTATGACCAGGGCTTGCTTATCTTCTACAATGCTGACGACATGTCCTGGCTCTATACTTTCCGCGAGAAGTTCCCAGGCAAGCTCTGCTCCTATTTCAGCCCTGGCCAGAGCCATGCCAATGGCAAGAATGTCCAGCCGCTGCGGATCAACACAGTCCGCATCTAGTCTGGGCCAAGGCCCACATCCTCCTGGGCCATTACCACCAGCAAAAGCCCAGTCCAGTAGAGGGAGGCCTGGACTCGGCCCACATCCACCACTCTGAGACCTCAGGCCGGTTGTTTACCCACCAACCTCCTTTGTCTGTGACCTGGAGGTTATGCTCCATGATTCCTCAGCTCTCTCCCAGCATTGATATTCTGTAGCTCCGACTTTGGTGGGGACGTGACAAGGTTTCTCCTCAGGGCAACTCCTGCCCAACACTCATCCCCATCCTCTCAAGGGCAGGGACTACCTCCTTCTGTCTCCCACCTGCCCGGCTGCCCTTGTCTCAGGATTTGTCAGATGTGACCAGTAATTGACAACCTGAAAGATGCACAGAACCCTCTGTGTCCATGACCTAAGACTTGCCCTGACTGAGCTAGCGATGGGCCATTTTAACCCTTGACCCCCAACAGTCCCACAGTGGACAGAGGCAATAGCTGTTCCTAGAGTTGTCTGAGACATACCCCCTCCTGCCACCCTGTACCCAAAGCTCTTTTCCACTGATCAGCAAGTCATAGAGGATGCTGTGTCCTGTGGAAGGTACCTAGTAGTTGAGCCCATGTGTTACTATGTGACCATGTCACCCCTTTTCTACCCACAACCCAAGGACACCTTCGGGACTGATGTAGAGTCCATCAACTAAAGGCATCCGCAGGACAAGCATCGCTGGATGATGAAGATCCCCAACAGCTTTGGACAGAGTCCAGCCAGCCACGTTCAGCCAGGCCTCTGTGACCTGCTAGGCTGCAGAGAAGCTGCTGAGTGCTTGTTTTAATCAGGACCTGAGCTCTGGGAAGGGCCCTTGGCCAGGTCCTGCCTTTAGACTTGACATCTATCTCACTTAGGATCCTGCTGCAGAAACGAGAGCCACTTTAGCTGGCTTAATTAGACAAGGATTTATTACCAGCTCCCTGGTGACTTGCAAAATTATTGGAAGGGCTAGAGGAGCAGAGTCTGCTGAATTTCCAGGAACAACCCCCAACTGCCAGATCTATCATGTCTATTGTGACCAAGAAGGCTGCTCTCACGGCAGGAAGCTGCCGCATCAGCAACCACTGACTGTAAAGTGGTGCCCCCTCTGGCACCATCCATGCCAGCAAATAGATGACCTGAGGCCTGCCTCTCTCCCACCTAACTCAGGTCCCACGATCCCATATCCCTACAAGGGACTCTGTGGAAATGAGTCAGATTCTAAACCTTGGCTACAAGGGAGTCTGGGAAATGTAGTTTTCTTCTTTCCAGCCTCAGTCATACAAAAAGGCTTAGTAGATCATTAGAATGGATGTTGAGCGAGCCCATTCACATTTTTTGCTACAGCATCCAACTGTGTTGTGTTCTGTGGTGTCCTTGTGATTGTTTTCCTGCCCAGAGATGACAGCCCAAAGAGCGAGCCTATAAGACCGAGCTAAAATGTCACCACAGCCTTGGCCTTTCTTCCCAGCTCTGGGGCCTTCATTCAGTACTTGGGGTCTCTGAGCACAACCATTCCAAAGAAGCCAGCACAGCTGAACTTTAGAGGCTCCCGCTCACAACTGCCACACACTGGGACCTCCCCTGAACAAGAGGAATTCTTAGCCCTACCCACCCCCTCAATTTCCAGAATCTGGGCTATTCCTGACAGTATTTTTATTTAAAAACGTTGCCCATTTTGTGAGTTATGATCAATTTGTATTAAATAAGTTACTGGATGCCAGTGGTCTGTTCCATTCTTTCTGACAAACACAAAGCCCCACCTGTTCAGTCCCAGGCGGTGTAGGTCCATTAGAACAGCCAGTCCACAAGCTCCTCTGCTGGGTAACTCACATGTGGCTCACTCTACAGCGGCAGAAAAGCAAGACCCAGAGAAAGGACAGAAAGTGAGAACTGAATTCTAGGCCAGCACATCACACCCCTGTTGGAAATTCAGGACAACTGCCAGTCTTTTCCTGGAGGAGAGCTGGGGTAGGCCTGGGAGAAGGCACAGGGAGCTGGAACTATTTAGAACTGAGCATAAGTCCAGTTCCTATCAGTGTGTGACTTTAGAAAAATGGCCTAACCTCTCTGGGTCTCAGTTGCCCCACATGGAAGAGTAGGGATGGCACCACCAATTTCATGTGATTCCATGGTAAGCTAAGTGTGGTGCACGTAGGAAGGCCCTGCCTGTTCCTCTTCTGAACCTCTGTGCTGGAGCTGACACGGAGAAGCCCATCTTCCTCCTTGTGCCCTGAGAGGGAGGTTAAACCATCAGGAAGATCCCCAGGTCTGCTTCTTGAAGGCAACCCGTCCTACTTTTGCCTGGTGGGGAAACAGCCTGGCCAGGAGAACAACAGGGACTGCACAGGGCACACGGCTGTACACACTGGTGTTGGGAGGCCAGTGGGCCATCTTGGCTTCTCATGGATTCCTTTCCTCAAACCTCGCCTATAGGATGAAGAAGGTTAGACTGGATGCTCAGAGGCACCAGGTGGCTCCTCATCCGTTCTCTGGAGGAGGAACACCCAGTCATTGCCTTGTTTGGAGCTCTAGGAAGAAGGGCACAAACAAGGATGGGGAGGAGCTGTTGGCAAGGTAGACCAAGGAGTCTTGATTGGCTGAGAGAGCAGCCCAGTGTACAGTTAAGTTATGGAGGAAGGGTGATTTTGAGACCAGAGTATCTCCATGAACCCCTATTTGCTTAGATCTCTGTGGTTCCTAAAAAACTATACCTCCCTGTTTTTGCTCAGTGAGTATCTTTGCTCTGTCTTCTCCCTCTGGGGAGAAACAACCCTCTCCCCACACACACCCTGGTCCATTCTGCCATTTCCCCCTCAACCTCACCAAGTCTAAGATGTGCTGGCCACTTCACACCCTCCCTGTTTTAAAATGTCTGGGGCTAACTATAGGGCCTTATTTATGTAGCCACCTGGGGACTCCTGGAAATTAGGATGCCTCTAAGAGATATATCAACATAACTGCCCAGAAATATTCCTGGATAAAGGATAGGATTGTTGGGCTGAAACCAGAAACCCCACATTTAATGCAGTTAAGAGGGAAGGCAAAAGCAGCACAGCTGTGGATAAGAAGGAAGAATCAAAGCAGATCTTATCCAGGGTGGAAGAGGATTGATTAGCAGCAACCTCACTCTGAGTCCATGTAGCCAGCAAGCAGACTGCTGGTACTTTTTCTACTTTATCTAACTATCGAGACGAGCCCCTGAGGTGAGAATCTTTATCTCAGTGTTTGAGTGAAGAAGCATTCCCAAAGGAATTCGCCGCTACTCTCGGCAGAGCTGGAAATCAAATCCATCCAAAACTAAAGCCCACCTCTTCACCGGACCTTTCTGGAAGATCTTCTCCACTTTGAGGACTGCTTCAGCGACAGGCAGCAGCCACGGGGACTGGGATCCACTGGGCTTCAAAGTAGGTGCTTAAACCAGCTGTCGTGGAATTGTGGGATTGTGATTCACGTCTCGGATGCATGCAAAGCGTTCTATGCCTCCATGGCTCACAGGTGGACTTCTAAAGACCCTGTGTGACCTTAAGCAGGCCCCTCTTCCTTGCTGGGGCTCAGTTTCCCCAAGCAAGTTGAAGAGGGTGACTGGGATCCACTGGGCTTCAAAGTAGGTGCTTAAACCAGCTGTCGTGGAATTGTGGGATTGTGATTCACGTCTCGGATGCATGCAAAGCGTTCTATGCCTCCATGGCTCACAGGTGGACTTCTAAAGACCCTGTGTGACCTTAAGCAGGCCCCTCTTCCTTGCTGGGGCTCAGTTTCCCCAAGCAAGTTGAAGAGGGTTTAGGGATTTGGCTGACTGGTTGCCAGGGTCCCAACCCCGTCGGTCCAGGATTCTGAAAATCCAATGTTGACCCCATAGCTTTCCAGATTTATCGCGCTGCTCAGCACCTAGTGAGGCCATTCATTATCTCTGGGTCTTTCTCTCTGGGATGGCAGCAGAGACAGAAAATAAGATTTCTTGGCTGCACAAATCTCACCTCAAGGGCTCTAGGGAAAGCCTGTCCTCCTGCCAGAGAGGCCATCCTGAAAGTTGACTGCTCACACCTAGGCAAAACTCCCCACTTCCTCCCCTCTTGCCTGAGTCCTGGCTCTATTTACCACCCCAAGCTCACCAACCGGAGGTCAGCTACAGACGGAAGTGCAGGGGTTTGGGAGGGATAGGGGAGATGGCGGTACTGGCCAAGGTGCTGAATCGAATGGTCCTTGCCCTCCCACCAGGACATGGCTATTTCTCCTTACTATAGGACGAATGTTTCTACCCAATCTCTCAGGAAATCCTGAAGCCCATAAAGGAAAAGGAAGTGATGAGGAGCAGAGCAGGAAAGAGGGTATGGCGCAGTCAGGAGACTCAGCTTCCAAAAACATAACAGAAGAGGGAGAGACGCTTTTGCTTTTACTTTGAAACATGCACATTTTCCCGTTTTTTCTCTCATTTTCTTTCTTTCTCTTCCCTTCTCAATTTTCTCTTCTTCCTCCTCCTCCCCTCTCCCTTCCTCCTCCCCTCCCCCTCCTTCTTCTCTGTCTCTTTCTCCACCCCTGTTTATCGGAAGTACTGTAGATTGGACCTAAAGACACCCCACCGAACTATATCCCCCAAACCTTTTTATTTTATTTTCATTTACTTTTTATTGCTATTTTAAGAGAGTCTTGCTAAGTTGCTAAGTTGATCAGACTGGGTTCAAACTTGCAAACTTCCTGCTTCGGCCTCACAGAGTGCTAGATTACAGGGCTGCACCACCACTCCTGGCTGTTTTTATCTTTTTTTTTATCTTTATGAAAAGTCTGTGAGTTTTACTCTAAATGTAAAACAGAAAAATCTTCTCCTTTCAGATTTTTGTCAGTTCTGTCACATTTCTGATATAAAATATTCCTCACTCACCCTAGGAATGAGATGAAGTGGCAAAGTGGTGACACTTTGGAGCACAGGTGCAGAAGCTCCATACCCTGGTGTCATGATGGTAGAGGGCCTTTCAGGAGACTGGAGTTAGAGACACAAAGCCCCAGATCGTGTGAACTCCCTAAGAGAGTGGGCCTAGATGTGATCAAGTCTGAATGCTGGAGAAGCCTGGTGATACTTTGATCCACCCTGAAGTTCAGAGAGAGTTAGTTTCTAGCTGAAGGTACACAGCAAGTGACAGAGCTGGGACTAGAACCCAGACGTCTTGGTTCCCAGCCAGCACACAGGAGAGGTAAATTGGAGAGGCCCTGAGCCCAGGCAATGAAAAGCAGCATCAAGGGCAGGCTGGAAAGGTGCAGGGCACAGGGGTGCCTATCAGAGTTGGGGACTGTAATGCTCAGAGAAAGGGTAAAAGGGGTGACAGAATCAAAAATTATTCTCTGAACAGTAGAGACTCAGCCCAGCTGGAGATGATGGTCATCACCTTAGACTCCGGGATGGCTGTGAGAGTCTCAGTGCCATTGTTTTACTGGTCAGTAGGGTCAGGCTCATCCTCAGGTCTCCTGACACTCGGCCCTTGATTATGTTCATGCAGCCTCTGTTCTCTGCCATGTACATTCTGGAACCAGCTCTCTCTTAGTCCCTGGATACCTGGAGCCTGAGCAAAGACTCACAGCTCCAGTACCAAGAGCTGGGTGCCATCTTTTGTCCTGTTTCTCAAAGAGAAGACAGAGCTGGCCTAGATCCCAGCTGCCTTATCCTGGGCACAGTCCGTGTCCACCCATACCTGCTACCTCCTTTGCCAGTATGAGTCCAGAGCCAGCACCAGCTACAGCAAGAACAAATTCCAGCAAGGACAGCTACTGGAGATACAAGCAGTCTCCAGTGAGTGAGGGCACTGGGATCTGGGGCCCATAGGAGTTCCCTGACTTCATGGGCCTACTGTCGGCCCTTGGACCTCAAGCAGTTTGGAAGTTCTGGGGGGG